ACTTTAATTATACATTGGACTTCATTAGAAACTCTAGTATTGACGGTGAATTAGAATAAAAGCTTCTGAAGCCTAAAAATGTATAGAAAACAGAAATATTTAACTCAGTGCTGACCAATATGGCTGACTAATTTATTAATGAGATCAATAAATTTAAAGGTGTGATTTCTAAATAATCCTGTTTCACGGAACTCTGTGGTAATGAGTAACACGCTATGATTTTAAACTCGGAGCCAATACTTGTATTAGATTTGAAAATTAGGATGTAGTCATGTAACACCTGTTAAACTAATTATTTGCAGTCAAATGAAAACTTGAACTATATTCCATCAATGCCAGTGTCGATTTTTCTACTCAGTCCACTAAAATTTTTTGGACGTGCGTCCAACCATTACTGAACTTCAGGCGTATTGTGCAATTTTTGGAGCTGAAAAATATTTTCTTTAGCAGATGGGCTTGGGGAAAAGAAATGTTCGGTGAATTTATAAAGAGCAATAACAGTTACTTGAAGAAGTTATTCTTTAGTATAAATATTCTACCCATCCACGTTTCGGTTACACTAGTTTCTAAAGCAACGTAAGTTATTCTCTAGCATAAAAGACGTCGAAGAGTTAGTTATTTTCTCTTTAGATGTAGGGCTCGCGTAGAGGCACCGTACGCGCGTTGCGCACAGCCATTGTGAGCGCATACAAAGCGAGGGTTGGAATAGAGGCACGGGTATGGATGGCAGCAGCAATGAACAGACGCCAAAGAGACTCCTGTCAAAGAAACCACCACCGATGAATCCAAGTGAACACAAAAAGAATGTCTACTCCATGGGCCGTAAAATTGGCGAACAACACCTAATGAAAGTTGCGGTCTCAGCATCTAATTTATGATGGCGGCGACGCAGGTTGGCTGCCGTGTGTCCAGCTCGTTTGTACAGGCCTTCCAAGGTAATTGGTTAGTGACAGTAAATGACTCGCCCACATATTTTTTATCTGGTTGTATTTAAAATAACTATCTGGGTTTTGATAAAAATTTGTCAGTAGGTGCAGTTTCTTTGGATCACTTTTGAGGTAGCGAAATCTTAGAATTTTGCTCTAGTGTTGGACATGATGCAGCAATATATTTTTGAAAGAATATAAACTTTTCTTCTCTGAGCCTTTAAACTATTCTCATTCACTATCTAAACTGCAATATTCACAATGCGCCTCGTTGTTTGATCAACACCTGGTGTCAATGAGATAAGTTATCTCTCGTTTATTGATTATAACTCGTAAGCATATCACGCGTCCATCTCGCTCTACGTAGGCAGAAGGGCACGTGTAGGCGATGGGGCTGTAAGATATCACATCCACTCACGTAGCTCTTTAACTACAGAACAATTCCCTCTCTAATTCAGTGCACAATTGATTTAAAAAACCTTGATCTCACTTTCATTGCTCCCGCGGAATGACATAATTTTGATATTCCTTATTTTCTATTTTCATTTCGCCACAGTCCAAAAATTAAATAATTAAATTAGAGTATAAGAACAAGTAGATCAAAAAGGATCTCAGACCTACGCGTCTAAGACATTAGCTTATTATGATGAATTTCAACGTGAAGGCATTATAACAAAATTTTAATTACGAATTATTTGACTATATTTTTAATATGTTCAATATCTCCATAGAAAATTGTGATGTAACTGAAATAATATCATTTTTATTCCCTTAATCATTCAATCCAAAGAATTATGTTGCTCTATTTTAGCCGACTTTACTACTAATCTGCACTTTGTGTGGAACCATCTTTTGTACCCAACAATCCACTCACATCGATACGTCATAAGGACTCAACCGCCTCATATTGAGCACGTAGCCTCAGCGCACAATGATCATACAGAAAGAAAGAGCAACAAATTTCGTAAACAAGTCTTGTTGAAGGAATTCTTGGCCGAGGATACAATGGGCAGGATGCTGCTGGTGACAGAGTCTGGTAGGATACTTGCTGCGTCTGTGCTCTGAATACACGCCCTATTGCGCCTTGATCTCAACAATCAAATGGAAGATTTATTAGTATAATGATAACGATTTAGCAGGAAAATTATAATAATGATATATAAGTAAAATAAAATGGCGATTTATCAGTACAATGATAATAAAATGTACCAGAAAAATTATAATAATGATTCATCAGTAAAATCATAATATTGATTTATAAGTAAAATAATAATAACGATTTATCAGCTCAACGATAGATAAATTTATCAGTAAAATATAATAAAGATTTATAAGTAAAATTATAATAATGATTTATAAGTAAAATAATATCAATGATTTATAATTACCATGATAATAAAATTTATCTGTGCAATGACAAAAAGCGATTGGTTTCATGGGGACATCATGACGCAAAATTCCAGGAAAATTTTTAACTAATACGAGTTATGTTCATTGAATAGTTGAATCGAGACTTGAATTATCTGCAACTTAAGTATTAGAAAAATAATGCCAATGTTTGAGGCTTGAAAAAATAAATTCCAATTTGCTTGACTCAAACTCTGATCGAATCGAATGAAATGTTAACCTTGTTTTAGCAACCAAAAGCTCAATGCATTATGGCAATGACACGATTACCGAAGACAGAAATGGTGCTCATAGATGTTCGCAAATTTTGAAATTCATATGACATTTTTGAGTGACCCCTCCTCACTTGTCCTCGTGGTCCAGTAAGTTATATATTAAATTAAATGGGCCACGTTTATGGGCCCTGGCTTTCGTATTTAGTAAACTGGGCCATGTTTGTAAGGCCCAGCTGACCCAGAAGTATTTTGGATGTTTGAAACTGGGCGCTGCTTGCAGGGCCGCGGGCCTCGCATGGTTTTGTATTGAGTGAACTGGGCCATGTTTGCTGGGCCCCGCTGGCCCACCGGTTTTTGTTTGGGCCATGTTTGCTGGGCCTGCCTTGGAGGCTCGTCTGACGCGTCATCCATCAACGCCTGACGGGCGGGGCAGACGTCGACCTGTTACTGGTACCTTCATGGTACCTGCTGGTACCTGCTGGTACTTTCATAGTACCTGCTGGTACCTGCTGGTACCTGCTGGTACTTTCATAGTACCTGCTGGTACCTGCTGGTACCTGCTGGTACCTTCATGGTACCTGCTGGCATCTCCATGGTACCTGCTGGTACCTGCTGGTACCTGCTGGTATCTCCATGGTACCTGCTGGTACCTGCTGGCATCTCCATGGTACCTGCTAGTACCAGCAGGGTTCATTAATGCAAGTTTCGTTGGAAACCAGAAAGCATTTCTTATTAAAGATTTTCTTATTTATTTTCTCACTTCCGAAAATTAGGCTTCTCGTAGGATTTTAAAGTTCAAATATGGTGGCTTCCTTGAAATATTTTACTATAATTTTACGACGTTTTGCCGGATTGAGAAAATCAATAAGAAAATTGTTAATAAGAAATACTCTCTGGTCGTCAAGGAAACAGGCGTTTGGGGCATAAATCACCCCACTATGCCATGTGCAAGATACGCGATAAATGTCATGTAATTGGCAGTCAAATTCAAGCAGCAAGTGTAAAGAGTGTAATTAGGAATTAAATTAAAGACTAAAATTCATTAATAGAAGTTATCGCACCTGCTGAATATTGTATCGATACGCAGGACTCGATGGAAATAAAAAGATACGCTGAAGCATGAAGCGATCCTTCCTGCAGTCCGATGGCCTCACGACTTGCCGATGTCCTTTGGATGTCCCAGATTATAAATTTTTAAAGTTCAGTTATCTTGCTTTTATGTGAGTTTTAAGTCTTGCACCACAATACATAGGGGCTGCTGGAGCGCATTTGCGTGATACTTGTCGTGTCAGGATATTGCTAGAATCTAAAAATGTATTCTGATTTACTGGATTCTAGCTAGATACAGGGATTCCTAAATTGGGGGGATTATCGATCACGCGTCACGCCGGGTAAACCTGACATTATCGAATAATTAAAATTAATGCCTAATTACATCGCTTTCGAGTTTTTTATTGCACTGCCCAAAATATGAAACATATAAAAAACAATTTTATAGCGTTGTTTTAAAGCTAGAGGGAAAGTTTGTCCTCGCGAAGAGGGAAGAGAGGAAGACTCCCCTCACAGCACTTCATATCCGTTCGCTGGATTGCCGTCTAATCCAGCTCCCCCTGTCGCACCCCAGCGGGTCTATGGGGTCTGCAGAGCACAGAACAAATTAGCACCAACAGCAAACACAAGCCAGGGTCTGAGCCCTGCCAAATCTCTCACTTGCTCTGGATTATTAGCCTTCGCCCTCGCTCATATTGGCGGTGCTTTAGACGCATCGCTCGTTGTGAGCTGTCAATAGCGAATTGAATGATAAATTATGATAAAACTAATCAAAATCGCGATAAATTTGAAAGTTTATAGAAGAATCGAACATCAAAACAGTAAAAAATTATCGAAATGCCTTAAAGTATAATAATATTGACTGATTGTCGATTGTCAATAATATTGACAATTTTTTAATTACATTAGTTCGAGTGTACATACGAGTTCGGAACTTCTGAGCAAGGTGATAACAATTATTCAAACATTTTGATGAGAAGTAACTAAAAAGTTTTAGCAGACGAATGTCATGTCGGTCCTCGAATGTCAGGAACACGCGTCCGTGCGGCGCTGGCGGCGTCGTCCGCATTGTCGGCGCCTGCGGACGACAAGAGACGCTCCGCCGCCTGCTAATGCAGCGACACTGTCTCTGTGCTGCCATTTACTGCCGCACTTCTTGCCACTTACTGCCGTCTGCTGGCCACTTACTGCCGTCTGCTGGCCACTTACTGCCGTCTGCTGGCCACTTACTGCCGAACTTCTTGCCACTTACTGCCATGTGCTGGCCACTTACTGCCATGTGCTGGCCACTTCCTGCCGCACTTCTTGCCACTTACTGCCGTCTGCTGGCCACTTACTGCTGCACTTCTTGGCACTTACTGCCATGTACTGGCCACTTACTGCCACACTTCTTGGCACTTACTGTCGTGCTCTGGCCAGTTACCGCAGCACTCTGCCATTTATTGCTGCAACTCTGGCCACTAACTGCTGCCATGGCCACTGACTGTCGCATTCTGTCCACTTACTACTACCCTCTGGCCACTTACTTCCGCAAAATTTCATGTTACTCATATTCACATATGCTGCCACTTACTGCCACTGTATTCCTGCCACGCTAACTGCCACTTGCTACATTGTCATCAATCTTCCTGCCACACTGACTGCCACTTGCTACATTCCCAACACTCTTCCTGCCACACTAACTGCCACTTGCTACAATTTCAACACTCTTCCTGCCACACTGACTGCCATTTGCTACATTGTCAACACTCTTTCTGCCACCTTGCCACCCTGCCGCCACCAACACGTGTTGCCACACCTGCGTCAACAGGTCATAAGTCATCAACACTTCGCCATCTTGACAGACACAATAAAGCGAAACTTGCTGACTAAATTTAAGAATTAAAATACTGGAAATAAAATCATAAAAAAATGTTAAGAAAGTCTATAAAGTTCTGAGATACTGAAATATTAATTATTTCCGTAAGCCGATTCCTGATGATAGGAAATGTAGTAAGAGATATGAGTATCGATTTAAGCATTGCAGGGCTCAATTCAACGTTTTTCAGTGACAAATGTACACTGAAAAACCATAGAACGATCTAGAAAATATTCATAAAATGTTATCGTTTTTAACGTTAGTTTACTCAATTAGAACCTAATATGGACCAGTATTTACCTCTAATTCCTAAAAAAATACAATATCATGTAATGAAAGGATTGATGTTTTAAAACCAGCATCTTCTCTGCCGTAGAATGATTATCATGAATTGAAGCGCTAACATGATTGTAATTCATAATCAAAAATGTTTATCGCACTGCATGCATAGCTTTTTAAAGTTCATGTAAAAACAGACGTAACTTCTGTCATAAATGACATAAAAATGAAGGGATATAGGACGAAGGATATCAAATGACATTCTTCTGAAGCGTATTGCCTCACAAGAAGTCAGAGGAATAAGTACAATTTTTTAGAAATATTATCAGGAACTAAATATAATCACGTATCTGATTTTCCCTTATGTAGGTATCATGTATTAAATTTTCCGTCATGAAAGTATCATGAATCTCTTTCCCGTCATGGAAGTATCAAGTATATAATTTTCCATCGTGAAAGTATCGCATATTAAATTTTCCGTCATGAAGGTATCATGTATAAAATTTTTCTTCCTGAAAGTATCATGAATCAATTTCCCGTCCTGAAAGTATCATGTATTGAGTTCTCCGTCCTGGAATAATCACGTATCAAATTTTCCATCATGAAAGCATCATGCGTCAATTTTTCCATCATTAAAGTATCACGTAGTAAATTTTCCCTCATGAAAGTATCATGATCAAGTTTTTCCTATTAAGTATCATGTACCTAAATTTCCATCATGAAAGTGTCTTCGGTAGTCAGAGTTCTTCCGCCACAACGAGACTATTAATAAAGCGCAGATCCTGTATTTAATTGCTTAACGTCGTCCAATCCCCTCTCAACTTCTGCACACAAGCAACGTTCAACATTATAATACAAAATAAAGTCAAAATTACCCACGCTTCATTCAGGTCCCGATTGGCCGTAAAATCTGAGCTCTTTGCAAGGATACATGAACTTCCGTGGCTTTTGGCATCATTGAGTAGGAACGGTTTAGGATAGTAGCAGGATCGGTTTAGGATAGTAACAGGATCGGTTTAGGATGGTAGCAGGATCGGTTTAGGATGGTAGCAGGATCGGTTTTGAATAGAACGATGCTTCGTGCTATAACGAGATTACGTTCACTATGTTAGTTCTGCAGGAGAGTTTCCCAGTTGTAGGAAACGCAGGAAACTTTTCAAGGAAAATTTGTTGAAGTTTTAGAAAGATGTTGCGTCAAAGGAACTGACCACGGCGAGCCTGGTTGTCCCGAGCTGATTGTTTAAAATGATCTTGTTTCCTGGACACGCTTCACTGCCTGCTTTCATGCCGAATAAATCGACATCAACACAATAGATTCTTGCCTGACTTGCCAACCGAGACTCTGACAAACTTCCTTTGTTGCACTGCAAAATTACTGAGACTTAAATTGACTTGCAGCGAGAACCATTGAAGAGCACGACACTTATTTGATATGATATAGTTTTAATTTATATCAGTAGTAATAACTTTCCCCCGAAGCACTGCGAAAAATGATGGGTCAGCGCCCGGGTGGTTATGAATTTGCAGAGGTGGGCAGTAGCGCGCTACATGTAGCGGTAGCGGCGCTACATTTAAGGTAACGTAGCGGTAGCGGTAGAGCCCGCTACATATTTAAGTAGCGATACGAGGTTTTGCCGCTACAACGCTACCGCTACATTTATAGATAAAGCCTTTAGATTTTACCAAATAGTATTAAATATTATTTGAAAACCAGCATGATACATACATAATATAAATTACAGAATAAAACTACGAAAGACTTCGGTGTAATGTTGTCAACCTCAGCCTGTTACTAGTGTCAACATGTTAGTTGTTACCAGAGGTGGGCAGTAGCGCGCTACATGTAGCGGTAGCGGTGCTACATTTAAGGCAATGTAGTGATAGCGGTAGCGCCCGCTACATTTGGAGCATGGATCGGTAGCGGTAGCGGCCGCTACATTTCAAAGTAGCGCTGCCCAGCTCTGTGAATTTGTTAATATATAGGACGATGATTTTTATGCCAAGTTTCACGATGTCATCGTTCATATCATGTACAGTTGACGTGTTGTCGTCATGGTCCATAGTGATTTGCATAAACATGCTTACACTGTAACAGAAGCACTTTGTACTGTGCAGAGTGTATTAAATCAGCATTTATAGTTTGCAGCGTACAAGATAGTACACCTTAGCCACATCATCCAGCACAGAGCTGCATTATTTATGTTAAAATACCGCCCTTGCAACGAAGACTGCAGCACTTCTCGCATATATCTCATAGAAAAAAACTGTGCAGAGTTCATTGGAATCTTACAGAGGGTATCAAAACTGTGCTGCGCTTATTTTACACACAAATAACTTTAGTAATGCTGCAGCACTTTGGAAATGCTGCACTAGCAGCGTGCAGCATTAGTGCAGCACGGTGCGGTTAGTTTCAGCTGGCACAAATCCTCCTTTTTCCCAGGCCTTAGATCCATTAGCGGCCTCCACCAATATTTGCTCTCGCGGCTCAGGTGTCCCAGCGCGACCCTGCACGCATGCGCTGCCCTGCACTGCCAGCACTGCCACCCCCTGCCAGCAGCACTGCCAGCAGCACTGCCACCCCCTGCCAACAGCACTGTCTGCAGCACTGTCCGCAGCACTCACTGCCAGCAGCACTGTTTGCAGCACTGCCAGCATGGAAGTTCATCACATTCTAGCCCTAAGTGTAATGTTATTAAATATTTACAACTAATGCAAAGACAGACGGAAAATACGCATTTGTGGTGAGCCAAGATCGCTGTATAATACTACACCACACTCCTCCACAATGCACCACAATACAGCACCATCCCCACCACAATGCACCACAATACAGCACCATCCCCTCCACAATGCACCACAATACAGCACCATCCCCTCCACAATGCACCACCCTTCAGCTCGCGTTTCAGCGAGTGTTGTTTCAGGTTCAGATTCCCTGGCAATCAGCGATGAGGGCCAGCGTCCCTCGAGCCTAAAACCCAGCCCTCATCGTTACCGATGTAGCCCAACATGAAGGCCCTCATCATCGACGATGTAGCTCTACATCGCGGCCCTCATCATCGACGATGTAGCCCTACATCGCGGCCCTCATCATCGACGATGTAGCCCTACATCGCGGCCCTCATCATCGACGATGTAGCCCTACATCATGGCCCTCATCATCAACGAAGTAGCCCTACATCGCGGCCCTCATCAACAATGACGTAGCCCTACATCACGGCCCTCATCAACAATGACGTAGCCCTACATCACGGCCCTCATCATCAACGATGTAGCCCTACTTCACGGCCCTCATCATCAATGATGTAGCCCTACATTACGACCCTCATCATCAATGATGTGGCCTACATCGCGGCCTTCATCATCAACGATGTAGCCCTACATCACGGCCCTCATCATCAACGATGTAGCCCTACATCACGNGTTTACGAGCTTTCATTGCGTCTTTTGGGATCGCATCGAAATTTATTTCTATCCGAAATTTCCATGGATCCTGATAGTCACGCCCTCATGAGGATCATCGGATTTTTTGACCTCATTCGCCGATCCCCAAAAATTTAAGCGATCTTTCGTTTCACTCCAGAAGCTTTTTCAAAAGTAGAGTAGTTTTACTTAATGCGCTTTCTCTTTGTCAATAATTGTTTCGTCTGACGAGCAAATACTGCCTCTTTAGATACTTACACAGAAAATGCAGTAAAAAATGTTTCCACTTACTACTGTTATCTAAATCATCTTTATATTAATTTGTGGTAACATTAATTTTCTTTTGTCAATGAATGCAAAGTGTTACGTTAACAATTTTTCGCAAACAAACATCCTCGGCCGTCTAGTGGCTCACTTATTGTACAACGACCATTACAGTTATATAGGTGCAATTGGAGCGGCAGGTACAACTAAATTGATGCACATAATTCAGACCAATTTTGACGCAATTCACTCTCATTCGATTTTTCTCGCTAACTGAGATTTAATTTCACCTTGGCCCCATGCATCATGCATCACTGCTATATTACTGTCTCTTATACACATCTAGATGTGTATAAGAGACAGGGGTGAGAGGCAGAGATATGGAGGCAGGGAGAGGGTGAGAGGCAGAGATATGGGAGGCTGGGAGATGGTCAGATAGTGATAAAAAGGCTGGGAAGTGGCAAAGGAGGCAAGCAAAGAAAAGACGCATTTTAGAAGGCATGATCAAGCTCGGGATAATATATAATATTATCATTAACTAACATATGATATTAATATATGATATTCATCACAAAACCGTAGCATCAAGTCCCCAAGTCCCCGCTCATTAATTATCTAGTCATCCTAATTGCACACTAATTGATCACTTGATAATTGAACGATAAATT